AAGGTCGTGAGCCTCTTAGCACCGCTTCATTTCCGGGCGGTAACTAAGAGAAGCGCTCGCCAGAGTCCGCTGCGCCCTTGAACACCGGCAGGGTTAGCAGACTGATTTCCTGAGGACCTCAGACCCACGTCGTCTGCTAGGAAGACTAGATCAGAGCCTGCTCGGGGCAGGACCCAATGAAACACGCTTGGCAGGGGCTCCCACACTGACAGGTGACTTCCTAAGGGAACCAGTCTCACGAGACTGGCCTCTGGTGCACCTAGAGCAGCTAGCTCGGTACCCTGAAGCGGCGGACGGGCAGGAGACGGCCATACTTGACGGCCGCTCTTCCTGCAGCGCACGAGCCGCTCAGTCACACAAACAATATCAATCTCCTCGGAGAGAGATGGCTGCAGCAGCGAGCTCTCACTCAGAGGAGGAAGAAACTGCAGCGCGGGCTTCCAAGCCTCGAGAATTAGCTCTAGATCTATGGAACGCGGGTGGAGATAGGAAGAGCCGTCTCCAAACCGTCCGCCAGATCATGTGCGATCCCCGCGATCTCAGTCGCTGCCGTACAACATCAATCTCCTCAGAGAAAGATGGCCGCATCAGCAAGCTCTCTCTCAGAGGGGGAAGAACCGCAGCGCGGGCTTCCGGGCCTCGAGAACGAGCTCTAGATCTAGGGAGCACGGGTGGAGATAGGACGAGCCGTCTCCAACCCGTCCACCAGATCATGTGTGATCACCGCGATCTCAGTCGCCGCTGTGCCTCAGCAGCAGCGGGACCGCAATCGCAAGATCACAGGCACGGACACACTCCTCGGAGTGTGCCCTGCGAGAGCGGAGCGTTTAACAGCGGGAAAAGCACAATCAGCCCCCTGAGAGCCGACTGCGCGAGCTCTGCTCCCCATTAATGCTGCTCATTATAATATTAGGCATAATATGCTTGTGTAAATGGTGTTTGTGCAACTGGCGATCTCATCGACGCCCTCATCAACCTCCTCGGAGGAAGACAGGCGGAGCGTCGAGCCCTCTCACCGGGGGTAAAGAACCGCAGCACGGGCTTCCGAACCTCGAGAGCGGGCGCTGGATCTGGTAGGTGAGGAAGAAGATAGGGACTCGCCCGTCTACATTCCCTCCACCGGATCCATATGCGAACCCCACGAGCATCGCGCCCTCTCCCTCGAGAGCTGACTCTGCGTGCTTCGCTCCCAAGCAGACAACACACAAACTGTGTGTGTCCACACCCGAATATCTTTTTTTTTCCCCACGGGCAGGGAGAAACACAAAGCCCGAACACTGCCTGCTCTTGCCCAAAACTTCTCTTGACTGAAGCTTTGACATAATGGAGCTTATCAGTGGACAAACAACACTAAATAAGACTCAAAAACAGATAGCGACTGACACACACAGAGCACTTGCTGAATGACAGAAAGCTGACGCCGTTTCCACCGCACGTGCTTTTAAGCTTCCTAGTCGTTACGTCACCCCGCCCGTGACGTCTCGCCCTTCCATTGGACTGATTACACATGTGATTCAGAGAGTGGTCACGCTGAAGGCGTTCCCAAAGCACTTTGACGCAGTTTGAGTTCCTGAAGGGGAACTATAGATCTCCTGGAAGATTTGTTTTGTTTGGATGATTCTAGAGACCTTCATGATTATGTAGATATATATAGGTCAACAAAAAATACTTATTAGTAACATGACATTTAATTTCTTTGGGAGGGTTTGCCTTCGCCATGCTTCCTGGTAGTAAGGGTAGGAACTTGACAGCCTCATGTGACAGGAAGGAAGTTTTTTCTTCAAATCCTTTATTTGGTTGTTTGCTTGCATGTCATTGAGAAATAAAACATGGATAACATCTAGAAAAATACTTACAAAAGGAAAATGACAACTATAAACTGCGGCAACTATAGTTGCCAGTGGGCTAAAAGGTCATTCGGTGGTCATTTGAAGATCCGGTACAACGTTAACTCAGCAGGGAAGATGCTGTGCGAGTCAATACGCAATTGATGTTCAATTCCCGTCTCATCGTCAGAAAGTCACGAACCGCACCTTTGGCTTTTACAGCTCCTCGCACTCCTGGAAACATAACTCCCGGTCAATATCACACCAGCGAGCCACATCGACAATGCTAAATCATATCGATTGATGACCGTAACGCTTTTCTGAGGGGCAGATTATGGTATAATCTATAGCACATCAGATTATGAAATTAGAGAGAATTAATCCGCGCAGTGTCATGCACAGTCCTACAAGTCATCAATCCTGCAGTCAAGCAGTGAGTCTTGACCTTCATTCGGTCTCAGCACAGGAGGCTGTATGCAGTATGCTGACCCAGCAGTGCTGTAGCTACACTGCCTCAACACTTTCACAACAAGTGTAAACGCTACATCAATTAACAAGAAATATGTGTATGTGGACATCTGGTATTACAAGAAATATGAAAAAGTCTAAAAGACTGAGACCACAAATCAGGATGCATCCGGTTTTCATTTTTCTGACTTGTAAATATATGCGTTGTGTTACAATAAAATACTTAAAATATTAATAAAATAACAATTAATGCACTAAATATATAAAGTACTACACTAAATAATTTATATATCTCAAACTATGCTGATATTTTACAGTCATAAAATAATATATAAATATACACACACACACACACACACACACACAATAAAACATACATTTCAGAATTTCATTTTCTGATATTTGTTATGTCCCCCTTTTACTTTACTGCACTTAACGCCTTAAAAATATATATATATATATTTTTT